GACCCAGTGGGGGCCAGATGCTTCCCTTCTATGCCCTGGACAACCTCAGCAGTAATCATTAAAGTCCCAAGGATTTTTAAATTCTATGTGCCCAAATTCTTGAATTACAACATTATAAATATATTTAAAAAAAACCCCAAAACTAGGTCCTAAACATAAACGCAACACGTTTTTGTCTGGGGGGGCCCATGTGCCCTGCTGCCCCTCTACACTGTGCCCCGCTGCTTTAGCATCCCACCGAAAGAAGGGAGCTCAGGGTTTTTCAGCTAGGCAGACCCCCTGCTCTCTCGCCAGGGATCTGAAGGGGGGCAGACCCGAAAGAGGTCCATGTCCCACACAGCCACATTGCCTCACAGCTGAAAAGTGACCATAGCAAAGAGGTAAAAAAAGCTTTTGCTACAGATTTTCCCACAATGCAAAGAATACTGGCTACCAACACGCTGGATTGGCTGTGGTATGCCGGTTGTAGGGCGTTCAACAAATCTTTATGGTCATTCAGGGACAAACAATTGATAGGACGCAGGATTAGCAGGAGGGATGATCATCACCTAACATGCTCCCTGCAGGCAGCCATGACTGCTCTTTTCAAGGACAACAACCACTATCACCACCAAAATACCTCAGTACAACAAGACCTGCCACGATGCTGATGGATGGGAGACGTTTTGGCCAAAGCCGACTCGGTGCACTTAGCTGAAGTGGCAAAGTGTCTCCATGACCAAACCCTAAGTGCCTGAGCTGCTCCATCCACCTCGCATCTCCCCGAGAAGCTAAAATGGCATCTCAACCCCACTGCCACTCCCCGCTACCAAGAGCAAAGTGACTTCAAAGTCAAAACAGCATGTGCCTGTACAGGCTGGCACCAAATCTGAGCCAACAAGTGGGATCCAATTTTCAGACACAGATTGCATGAATGCTAGCTACTGAGCCTAATCTGCACCAGGTATATTAATGGCAGGATTGGGATTTAAGCCAAATTCTTACAGGGAAGAGCTCCTTCTCCCCTGAATATTTTGCTTCTTTCTCTTCCCTAACCAAAACAGTTAAAAAATCAATCTGTCATTTCAGGCAATTCGTATTTCCAAATTAAGCAACCAAAGCCAAACCGCTTCTAAATGTCTTCCTTAGGGGCTTAACGCAGTAAGCTCAAGTCAAATTTTAATGCTGATGGACTCGCAGGAGTTCATGTGAGCTAAGTACACAGAATTTCCCTTTACACTGTAAAGGCAAAAAAGCCAAAGTAAATTTATTCTTTGCTAATACAGACTGTTCACTTACTGACATCTTTGCATTGTTAATATTTAGTATAACTTTTGGTACTTCAATACACAGGGATAAAACAAAGGAAAAATGTCTTAGTGGAAAAAAACCTACCTATAAAATTTATATACCCTTAAACAGAAATGTGATTTCAAATCCGTTCTGTGTTTCTCGAGACCCTGTTCTCTTTATGATGAATGACAAAGCTATTAGCTTTAGGTCCAGCAGAAGCAGGACTGAGCTCTCTATAGGTCTGCAGACCTGAAGCTCTGTTAATGGATGGTTTAAACAGAACTCACCTCGAGCGGGGGGGTAAAAATCATTCAATTGTGCATGTTGAAGTACCATCAAAATACTCTCCTAAAAATACCTTTGACTATTTCTAGCCATGTATAAAGCAGAGATGATCTTTGAAATGCAGCTGATCTCTCCACTGACCTAAATTAACACACACTTAGAACAGAATTAGTTTCTTTGGGTATTTTCTACATACTTGATTTTCATCAGTGTTTCTCCATGACAGATTTTCAGTAAGTCAATTGTTAAACTTTACAGAGATTCTCTTCCTAATGCAACAGTTACAGTGCACCCTTTCAAAAGAAAACCTTTTCTCATCTGCAGTTTTCAGTAATCCAGTTTGTTTCTAATTTTTGGTACCTTAATTGCAACTCTTTCTGAGGACTTGATCCTTTAGCTGTGCAACTCATCGTGGACTTTTATGATAAGGTTCAGGTTCTAACATTTGCATGCATGACAGTTTTGTGGGTGTAAAGGCACACGCCCAAGTTTTTCCTCATAAATGAAGAGGGTGAATCTTACTTGTTTAGCAAGTGCATTCCATAGTACACGTTTTTGAATGACATCCCAGATTCACTATTTCATATTCTGTTTTCTTCTCCTCAGTGTCAAAGAAACAGAGGACATTTTACACCCAATCTTTTCTGATTCTACATTATTTCTCTTCACCGTCAATCTCTGAAATCCAGTATCTTCCCTGTTCCCCTGTTTGATGTAACTGTCCTAATAACTCAGTAGATACAACGCACAGCCATGTGTGTACGTGGTGGTGGTGGGATTGGAGATGGTGAGGGACAAACTGAATTTAACAACTGAGTAAAGAATCATCAACAAACCCATTTTTCCTCAATACAAAACTTCAAATGTGGGAAGCAAATGTTTTTGTAAGCCAGGGAAAAAAGCTTATAATAGTATATTAATACCCCAAGGTTAATAGAGAAAAATGCTTATTGAAATACATGCAAGAAAACAGTGTTAGGAGAAGTGAGAAAAACACGATAGTTTAAAGCACAGAGCTACATACAAGAACACACAACTGTTTTGTTGCCTTGTCAAAAAATAAAAACCACAGTGCCCACGGAGTCAAAATGACCGATGACCAAAGGAGAAAAATACGCACTGCCAGGCTGCTTTTGGGTATTTCCTAAACAGCTTTTGAATGCTATGTGAAAAACACTGTGCTGACCATTAAATGGATTTCAAAAAACAGTCTGAGGCAGGAACTACCTTTTACAACATCGTATGAAATGTGAAAGGACTATAAAATTACTTATTCAAGACAAGTATATAGGCATACATACAACTGTGTATATTCTCGTTTCCTTTCAGGGCACTAGGTATCTCCTCCCCCCCCTCCCTAACACTTCTGCGTTTCTCCGAGCGCTCTCCAGGCAGGTCAGTTTAATACAAAAACTCTACCTTGGTGTCATGGCGTATTGCCGAGACCGGGGTGACTTCCTCTGCTCTTTTCTTTTTGCCCTCTTCATCGTCTTTCTCCTCTTCTGCCTTTTTCTCTGGAGTCACAGTGGTTATCAAGTTGGTCTGAGAGATGCCCTTTGTTGTGGCGTACTGGCCAGTACCAACCTCTGCAGCAGACACAGAATCCTTCATGTACATTTCATGGTTTTCATTCACTGATGCTAAAAGCAAATATTTAAAGAGGGAAAGTCTGAAATAGCTTTTGCTGAGAAGCTGCATAAAATTAAAAAGCCGGGTTAGTAAAACATTTGAGATATTGCTGAAAACACAACTATGTCATGTTCCAGGAAACCAGAAGCGTGTGCATACATTTAAACAAACTGTTTACTTGAAATAAAGCTTGTAGCTTTTATATGCATAAACATATATTACGGATGTGTATACACACATTACCGTAGCTAATGTGCGCATTACACAGTTGTTAAATGCCAGCAAGCCCTTTAAAGCGCTACTGTAGTAAAACATCAGAAAAAGAAATCAACGCATTGGCAGAGTTATCAGGCAGGAAACAGAAGGAGAACCAGCCATGACATCAGCCGTGGGGGTGGAAGAGATTTTTTCGTCTGTCAGAATACGACAACGCAGACCAAATGCGTGATAAGTAATGCAGGAAATGCCAGTGTGGATGTAACACGGGCATAATACCTAAGAATGAAGAAATGGGATCTCTGCATTGCTGAGCATTAAGTCTGCCAGTGGAGTGAGCATGCTATCCTAAAAAATTCTGGGAAGTGGTGGGATTCCATTCAGTGGACGAAACCAGAATATTTTAGGATGCAAAAGTTCGATAATTCAGCAAACTTAAATATATGTAAATGCTTTTGAATCAAATACTAAATTTACAGACAGAATGTAATGAAAACTTTAGTATATACCCAGACCCTGCTCTCGGCTACTGTGTAACTAACTTCTAAGTCAATAGAACTATTCAAACTTATAGTTTGAATTACTTGCACTATGGGAAGCGACAGGGCTGGGATCACAGGGTCATTGCGAGGCAGAACGTCACAGCCACGTCTGCATTACCGTAACAACACTGGTGAAGAAACCATCAGTGTTAGTTAAAAAAAAACCCTCTTTTTCCCACTTGCACTTAGGCAAATGAACACCATGAAAACCCTGTGCAGTCTAACAAACGCTGGGGAAAAGCGTTTCAGGTATCGTGTCTCTGGGGAGCGAGCTTGGGAGGCGGGTGGGAGCAGAGGGAGCAGAGGGAGACATCTCGTTTAGATGTTACAAACAACGCAGGAGGATAATTTCTGCTTTCAGACACATGCACAGCAGTCAGGTCACCAGTTGCTTGGTAACGAGCAAGAAGCGCATCAGAATTAGAAGATTTCAAAATAATTAATGACAAGCAGCACCTTTAGGGGGAGAAAAAACCTGTGACTAGTACTTTTCAATCAAAGCTTCTCCCCTTCCCCAGCATCAGCTATACTCATTGCAATTTGTTTGGGATATTCTGCAGGAGAATTCACCTTTTTTAAAAAAACTGCAGCAACTCTCCATTAAGTCTCACTCTTTTTTTCCACAAAAATAAACTACATCTGGCTGCAGTCAACAGCTGAGAGCAGCAACAGCCGATGAAGTAGCTGAGACCCTGAACCACAAGCTGGTTTAACCTAAGGCGGCAGCGCACTGTGAGATCCATAAGCCACGGAGTAAGAGAGGAGCAGGAAGGACATACTGTACACTCGCTTATGTTACTCTCCATCTCACGACTTCACAAGTAACGTATGGAGAAAGCCTGCTAGCGCCTATCCAACTCGGCCACGAGGTTATAGGAAGCAAGTGTTATTACTCAGTCAAGGGAAAGAATGCATTTATAAATTGTAACTTAAACTTAAATGAAAAACCTACACAGGAAAAAAAGCCAAGTTAAACCAAAACCTGAACAGTTACTCACGCAAACCCTGAAAAAGCACTGAAGCCCGACTTGCTCGGGCAAGCAGGCCCAGGTGCCTCGTCCTTCCCCAAAGCGGAGAAGTGCTTCGCAGATGTGAGGCCAAGGAGAGGGTCTCGACAAAGAGTGGGGTCCCAAGGCCCTCCTCCAGGCAAACACTTTGTAAGAACCACAGCAGTACATTTAGCACAGTATTTCTCTGCATCCTCCCCTACCACTGCAGTGAACGTGCAGGTACTCACAGCCTCCACTCTGCCGAAGCTCAAGGAGACGAGATGACGAGAGGTTTATATCTAATCTAAAGCAGTGACCACCGTGATGATAACTTCTGGCAAAGCCAGTTAGAGGACCTTACCCCCATCTAAGCTGCGAGACATGGTGTAACGTTTACTAGAAGAGCGCTCGAAGTAAGGTGCGGGACGGTCTATGAGGGCGCTGGCTCTTCTCGTCTGCGCCTGCGTCCGGCCGCTGTAGCGAAACTTGGAGCCCAGCGTGAGGAACTTCTTTGGAGGTGCTTCTGGCAGCAGGAGCCTAAAACACAACAAGCAGTGCACCCGTTACTCCCTCTCCAAAAATCAGGCCACTATTTCTGCAGAGGAGAGAAGGCGACTGTTGGGTATCGTTCTCCATCGCAACCTGTGCCTCACAGGTCTGTGGCTACAAGGGAGTCAAAGGGTTCCCCTCTTACGGCATGACAAAACGGCTCAGCCAACGCATGCGAAGAGCTGAGTTCTTCCTAACGGACAAGAATCACTCAGTCCCTTCCTTCATGAAAACCAGATTTATTATTTCCTAATCACCAAAACTAAAAATAAGGTGTTCCTTGTATCAAGGACCCTGATCTGGGCTGAAATACAGATGTATCTCTTCATACTTCAAATTTAACGTGGTGCTGCTACGCTGAGGACAGGGCCGGAACAGATTTCCAGTGAATGCCAGGCAGTGTTCATTCACAGGGACACAGACATCTTTCAGGTTAGAGCCTTCCCACCTTCTGTGTTTTGGCTATGGGAGTTTGCTGAAGAAGCCATTCTCCTGCTATGGAGTTTATGCTTTAGACATTGATTTTCCATTAAAAATCAGAGAACACCCAAGAAATGCACACTCATGGGGTTTTTTTAGATCTTTTGCTGCTAAGACTGCATTTCATATGAATGTACAGACAGCCTGAACCAGTAGTTTTAGAAAGGAGAGATTTTTCAGTCCTCCCAAACATCTTGAGAGGGATTTTTAGAGGCTGGCCACCCATTCACGCTATCGAAAATCCTCCCCTTTTGGGTATCCATTGTCAAAAAACAAAGCTGCAAAATTCCTCAGTAATACAAAAATTACAGCCACGGATTGGGTATTCTGGGGGACTAAAAATACACTACGGACTACTGTCTGTATTTCCATATGTCATTAAATTAAAAAAAATCTTCTTTTTATTTTAAATTCTTATCCACATCTCCCAGTAACCTTCCATATAAGCTGCTCTCCCTATACAAGCATACGTGCAGAAGGGCAGCAGAGTCCTTCGTCTCGAATTATAGCAGCTGATAATATCACGGCACAGATAAAGAGAAAACGATCAGCTGGAACCATATGGTGATTTTAAACATTCGGTATCTAGCCAAACTAGCGTGAATAGTTTGGGTGAAACACACCGAGTTTTGAAGAAGCGATAACCTTTCCTTGTCTGCTCGGAGATACCTCGTGATCAAAAAGGCAATTTGACTTGAAGGGTTTGGTCTCTGCTGACAGAGGTTTGTCTTTTCTGACATGCCCTACATCACACCTTTAGGAAAAGAAATCCACGTACCTGAAAAACGTATGGTGCTCAACACACACTTTCCATAAGCGCTTTGCAGCACGGTGATTTGGCAACTTAAACCCAATAGTGCTTTCAAACTGCTCAAACTAGGTAGGAAAAAGAAAGAGTATGTAGTTGATGCCGTTTTTTAGACAGTGTTCACAGCTTCACCTTCATTTCTTCCGCCTATAGCCTCTCACTGCAAGGGTGAATGCACAGGCTCATGTACATAACCACATACATTCTACAGACTACCGGCTGGGAAGGAAGCTGCGAGTGATAATGGCAACCTGTGAGGATCATTTTTGAGGGAAAACCTAGATAATCAGCAAATTTTGATGGTGACCCTGATTTTTTATGCCCTACAGTAACAAAGAGATTGGTTAAGACTTGGGAGACTTCTGCGAAAAACATCATTTAAGTGTTTTAACCTTGTTGTTTTAACTTCACAAGTTTAAGCAACAGTGGGAAGCCTGATAATAGCCTGGAGGGGAGCGACAGTCCCCAGGGACTGATCTGGTCTCACACAGCCTTAGATTAAGGAGATTTACAGTGAAAGAACTACAGTTGGTAAATCACAGTGGTTTTGGCTAATTTATCTCCTGGGGAGGATGAGGAAAAGACAGGTAATTGAGAAGAGTCGGCTGGGGATACTAAGAGACCTTTCCAGGTTGTGCTGCAGGTTTATGTATTCCAGATGCAACCGCTGTAACACGGTGACGGCTACATGCAGAGAGCTGAGTAGGTGAAACAGTGTCGCTGTGACCGGGGAAAGGTAGGCAGAAGGGCACTTGTAAGGGAGCCTGGATCCCTACGGGGAGCTGACAGGAAGAAGTTCTTCACAGAAAGGGTGGTGAAGCACTGGAACAGGTTGCCCAGAGAAGCTGTGGATGCCCCATCCCTGGAAGTGTTCAAGGCCAGGCTGGATGAGGCTTTGAGCAACCTGGTCTAGTGGAAGGTGTCCCTGCCTATGGCAGGGGGGTTGGAACTGGATGGTCTTTAAGGTCCCTTCCAACCCAAACCATGCTGTGATTCTATGACAGAGAAACAAGGCAGGAAACAGCAAAACAATAAAGATGATATAAGCAACACACAGGATAGTGACTCACATCATCATCAAATGTGATGTGGCAAGAGACTGCGTTGATTATTTTGCGTAAGGAACTACAACCTGGTCACAGGACACTATATACCAAGACCAGGAGGGCTTCAGTGGTGGGGGGCTTCAGTGAGGGCACTGGGAACAGCAGTGGCTATCTGCTGGGTTTTGTTAGATCGAACTCAGGACTGGGAGGTCGACTGCTAAAACTGTGTCTGCTAAGAAGCAGGAGATGGAGGTTTGTGGATTTTGGTTTAGAATCCTAAAAAAGGCCCAGGCCCTGGGGCTGGGCAGGCAGCAGATTTCCCTGATCACTTATGAAGACAGTGCATCTGGCTCGGGACTCCCAGCTGCCATACTGCAGGAAGGGAGAAATGCCGGTCCTCATCCAGGTGATTCCTGTCCTGCTATACAGCTCCACCCTCTAAAATGGGTATGGGTTTCTCATCTACCACAGACCCATTATTGCAACAGCGCTTAAAATGGAGACACTCCTTTGCCTCTGATGATCCTGAGCTCCTCCTGGGATTTCTCCTAAAACGAATCATCTCCTTCCCAGCCCATGCGGCAGGTGTTTGCTGAGCCACGAGAGGGCACTCACTGTACGAGATTCCACACCACCTTCCCCAGGGTCAGAGCAGGAGCTCCTGGAGGCCTGGCTGGGCTAATGCACGTACGTACCTACCAAAACCGATGGTGCTTGACTTCCTTCGTATCAGGCTCCGGATTTCTGCTCCGATGCCAAATGTACTAGTCTGATACACTTACAAAATCTGGTATGGCCTGTCTACATCTCTTAGCGGGTAAGATGAATAGACCCTAATTTCATATAGCACATGACGGTGGATGACGAGCGCTCCCTGAATAAGCAATATGCTACTTGAATTCCCAAAATATTCATATAATGTGGATGAGCTTTTTCCAAGCAGATGGCCGTATTTATTTTTTATGTTAGTTCACGGATGTAAACAGAAAAACAACGAAGAAGATTTTACCTGTATTTTAATTATTTACCTAATCTTTCCTAAGAACACCAGCACAAATTAAAAAACATAAATGGAGAGGAGTGTTAAAGGCTTTTAAGACATGACAAATTAACAAATCAATGACAACATGGTGGGTTTTTTTTAAAAGGTTCATTCACTAAAGAGTGTCAGGATGCCCTTACCTCCCCTGGTCGGATTTTGATGTAGAAGTTGTTCCTCTTGTAGGAAATTTTCAGAACCTTTGGCCAGGCAAATCTATTTATTCTGAGTCTGTCTCGATATATTAGGAGACCACTTGCACAGACTCCTAGCATAATTTCCACTCCTTCAGAATCCTGGAAAAGCAAGCAATGCACTTTGTTGAATATTTCTCTCCTTACATCCCCCAGTACTACAGATTCTTGTATGCTGTGTTTTCACCTGAGCCCCGTCGTTTTAATGCATCAGCTGTCGTGACCTGATTTCTGCGCGCTACCCTGCTCAATGACTGTGTTCATGCAAGTAATAGTAAGGTTGGGCAGGGTGAGAGAAACTGAGTGTTGTGAATGTTTCCTTATATTTTAGAAAGACTCCAAAAGGAGGGGAGAAGTTTCAGTTGTTATTAAAAGAATGATATTAACCATATAGCTAAATTATATTAGCATAATAAAAAAAAGTGGTATTAGCATAAATACCAGCCTGAAAGTAAGTAGGACAGCATACAAATTTACTGTTCCTAGCATCACTCACCCCCAAGATTAACTCTTGTGAATTCCTAGATTTTTTTTTCTTGTGTATTTGCTCATCTTGTCTTTACTTGCTAGTTTCTTAAACACTGTTGTGCCCATACTCAGTACTTTCAATTTGAAACGACCAGTGGTCAGAGAGTTGGGCATTTGAACCACAAAGATTCTTTTTGAAGAAGTGTGTGACTCTGCCTGTGCTATAACCTATTTTTGATAGGGTAACTAGGCCAGACACATAAGCACTCTAAAAGATTTGGCCACTATCTTATCAGAATACATCCATTTTTTAAGTAGGAAGTATACACTTCTCTTTCCTTTAGAAGCCTTCAAATAGTCTAAAATCAATCTTCACTGTTTGCTATCACCACCAGCCTGTATAATTCTGTGTTTTTATTTAGCTAAGTACCAATACTGTCAGAGAAAAGAAGGATCCACCTTAAAGCAGAGTTCTTTGGTAATTATTTTGAAGTAACTTAGTGACAAAAGTCTGACAACAGAAGCTATGAAGATTTCACCCTACGATAAACATGAAATGAGTTCATCGTTTTCCCAACAAGCCCTCTTTTAGGCACACAGTAAAATGTGATGACGTCTTAAGATGAACTCACAGGCACGCATGGACTGCCATAACGAAAAGGCCACAGTACAGCTTTAAATACAAAATACAACCAATCTCAAATCAGAGGCGCAACATAACATTAGTGCCACGAAGTCGCTTCAGTATTAGAAAACACACCGATGGGTGATGTGTATTCCAATAATGATGCTATCGCCACTTCAAGGTAGAATTTTTCTAAATTAAGCTCTTGTGGGATATCATTGTCAGGTACTACAGAAGAGACAAAGCTGATTTTTTTAAGTGGACTTAAATTTAGAAGTTTCCTAAGCAAAGCGTAACGTCTAAATGTAGTGAATACATCCTAAAAAAGGAAGTCTCATTGCCAGTAATCCCACTGCCTGGCAGATGCCTGAAATGCAGGTGTGCTCACGTACAGACATAGCTGTAGGTACAAGGGGCTCCCTTCTTCTGACACACGTTCTCAAAAGCGTGTTGGGAAGTGCCTTCTTCCCTCATCCCCACCTCTGCAGCAGATCTAAGCCCATTCGCGGCTGCTGCTACTTGTTGGTGTCAGAGATTGTTTTTCGGTGTGATACTACTGGCGTAAAATGAAACCCGAATAAAAGAATTTGGCTTTTTTCAGGAGCAATGTGGTTGCATTCACTGTGATGTCCCTGCAATTCTGCATACGAATGGGGGGCTTTATCAGGGCAGTGACAGCCCAGAGGACAAATCTGTCTATTTGAGTACAGTTTTTATCACAACCTTGTGTTGGGTAATTGAGAGCTAGTTTTAACAGCAGCTGGCAAGTCCAGCATCTGTTGAATACCTAAGATACTGGCACAGCCTTAATGAATTGGCATTTACATAGAGGCATCTGCCACGGAGTGACTTCAAAAAGGCATCCACAGAGATACTTGTCCCGTAGCCCGATACCATCAGATCTCACTGGCAGACCTAATTAAAACTGAACATTACTTCTCACGCAGAGTCTACTTTTCCCACTTTCAGCTCAGTTTCCAAGATTACTGCTGGGTTTCTTAACCCACAGACAGATCCAATTCGGTTAGCACTGCAGCTTCTTAAATTAAGAACATCACTTTAGAGAGAGATTGGCTTGTCTACCAACTTCTCTGGATCTGAGTCTTTCCACATGAAAAACAGAAGAGTAAAACTGAATACTAATATTTTTTAGGAAAAAAAAGTGAAATGGTTACCTCAGGACACCCTGTCTTAAATTCCACAGACTTTTTCCAATATACTGAAAAACATATTTAGGCCTTAATGCTAAGCTATGTTAAATTTTCAGTTGCAAAGCCAGTAATGTATTTAGAACAGGAACTCGCTTTGTCGCTGTTTTGCAGATTTCTTCATGTTGGACACAAGATATTGAAAAAAAGCTACTGAGTGACATTCACCAATCCCTTTCTATCTTTGCCCCAAGTGTGCCTCAAGATTTTGTGCCTATCTGCAAGACACAAGGAAGGCAGCAGCACGCCTCCTGGTAGAGTGCTGCCCGTTGAGCCGTACCCAGATTTTTCATTTTCAGTGAAGGCAATTAACAGAACACAAAAGATTGCCTCAAATTCCGGAACACACACGCACAGCTCCTACAAAATGCCCCAGGGACATGGTTGCAGGCCCTTTTCAAGATCCCAGCTGCAAATCTATCTCAGTTCTTGAAAGGATCTGCTGCAGCACAAAACCAGACTCACAATAATTTGACCTTTACAGAAAAAAGCAGCAGTCTCCACAGTTCAGGATTCTTTGTTCAGCACTCATTTGCCAAGGAAGCTTGCTAACCTCAAAGATGGTAAAATGAATTTGCCTTACTTTGAAGAGGGAAGAAATATACAGTAATTATTTATCTGGGAAAAACCCTACCAAAAACCAGACAACCAAACAGGGCTGGGAGGTGGCTCTCCCAAGCCACAATAACAATGACCATGTTTTATTCATAACTTAACCTGACGATGATTACAGAAACCACTTCATCATGGGAGAATGTTTCCAGCAGAATTAACGCCCTTCCAGTCAACTGCAACGACCACACTTCAGAAGAGAGACAAGCCGCCGTCTCCCCACTGCTAACAATCTCATTAGGTTTCCAGCACGGCTAAATAATTGCTTGAAAGTTCTCTCAAGTGTTAGAAATGATCTACTTAAATAGTTAAGATACCATAGTTGACCTTATTAAATTGGAAAATGCAGCTGAATGAAATGACAATTGATCACTCTCTGGACAGCTTCTAATATCCTTCCTCATTCCTCTGTCCATTCACCATTTTCCCAAAGGATTTGGTTGCTTAATCCACATGAAGGGTTGATGTGCAACATCTTTGAAGCTATAGGCTAATTTATGTTACAGTTCTGAGATATATTTATGCTTATCCCATGAGTCACCCTTCCTCATCTTGACACATGATTTATCCCACAAAATGCCCGTCTCAAAACAACAAGGAAGAATAATTCAGGGAGTCTAAGCTTATTCAAGGCCTGTCACGCAGGAGAAAGATGACTGGTGAAAGAACTAGAGTACCTACCTTGGCATGATGGAGATCTACTCCATACATTGATAATTTTTTGGCATTCTCCAGGAAATGCATCTCAGCCTCTGCAGGTGTCATTCCCCTAAGGAAAAAAACCCAACCAATTTTAGCATCAATGTTAAAGAAACAGAATCCAAAATAAGATCCAGCAGCTGGCAAACAATTTCAGTCCGTCAGAACTACAGGCAGACCCCCTTAGGTAGCTGGGTACCTACCAGAGCCAAAGCTCTGGTGCAGATCCTGTTGTCTTTCAAGCTGCAAAGCTCTTCCCTAATTGAAGATACAGAGAGAAATCTTACCCCAAAAAAATCTTCTTCTTGAGTATCTCCTGCAGCAGATTTTAACCTTTCCTGATGCACCAGGACAGTACCTGAAGGCAGGCTACAGCCCACACCGGTGCCCTCCGCATACCTGTGGCTTTTGTGCAGCTCGATCACTTTATCCTCCAGTTCTTTAGTGTGATTCGGGGCAAAGCGAAATTCGCTGATGTAGTCGCTGCCATACTCGTCGGGGTCGTAGTCCCCGAGCTCCGACTGCACGGTGTAGGAGCCCAGCAGGGCCAGCGTGACGAACGAACAGGGCAGCCGACCCGACACGATGTCATCTCTCAGCTGCAAGCAGAGGTAGTACCTGCAATGGACCACCAAGGCAGCTCAGAAAGGGCTCCTCCACCGCTGCCCCCGAAGAGCATCGCCCACGCGCCGGCAAGAGGCCTCGGTTCCTCTCCTCATTTGCAGACAACTCCCAAGCCCAGTGTTTTTCAGGTGTTAACAAGGCTAACAATAATTTGGGGAGGGAGGGGAGAAATGCCTGCTTAATTTATGGGTAGCAATGCCTAATTTATCTTTATAAAGCAGCATGGAGATCTCTTAATACAATAGGTTATTACTTGGGTTAGTGACCTAGAGGAAGAATTACCCGTTCCACATACCAGGTTTGTAACATAAATCACTAAGACATATAGCTACCTGATAATTCTTCTTTTTAAGGAGAAAAAAGAATTAAAACCCCCAAATACTGTTCATTGAAGTGCAGCTGAACTACAGGCCGTTAAAAAAAAACTCTAAGTTGTTTCTTCAGAAACTGCTGAGCTTTCTCAAAACTACATTTAAACAGTACACGTTGGTAAAACCAGGGTGATAAGCAGTGGAAGGGATCACCAGACAGAAGAAAACAGAAACAAAAGTGAAGAGCATTGGCTTGGTGGTGAAAGCACGGAGTTCCCAGGGGAGATATGAGGGCGACAAGATGAAAAAAAGCAATCCTTTCTTTTGGAAGACCTCTGCTGAAGTGCGAATACTTGGCACTCAGTGTCTCTGGGCAGTGCCTAGCACAGGGGACCTCTGATCAAAGCCAAAGGCTTCATGCTACCCTTAAAAAACAAGAAGTAGACCACAAAGCCACAAAGGTTTGAGATATCCACAGGTTAAAAACGTTGTAACAGGCTAGGGAATGGTTTGCTGATGGCACGAAATTTGTCGTGGCTCAGAAGTTTTCCTGCCTTTTACCAAGGAGGAAACAATGTGAGGGCTTTTTTTCGGTTGTGGTTGCAATCTGAATACAAAACCAGAGAGCAGAGGTGCAGACTGCAGAGCTGAGTGACTTGGATAGCAGGGAGCAGCTGTTCATTACCACTGTATTCCCTCCACCATGCACGCCAAGAGCTTACCTCATCGAATGACACACAAAATCTACAAGCATCTTTATTCTCATCCCACTTCTTTGCTTTCATAGTTATGGTTTTACTTATAATAACTTGTTACCACTGACAGCAATGGGCACTGGGCATCTTTTTGAAAATTACAATCAATTCTCAGGAATACCTGGGTTTTAGGGTTAAATTACAGAACAGTTTTCTCAGCTCAGAGGACAGACACTGTTCACAGTGTCTTTTCTGCCAAAGCACTGCATATTTTCCATAAGCTCCTAAGAGAAGGGGAGCCAATGGGAATACAAAGCATTCCTTTTCTTGGATAATTAGAGTGTAAGCGCTACTACAAACAGCTTTTAAGCCCCTTCTAGAAAGGTATTTAATGTTTTAAACACCTGGTAATATCTTCAGATAGCTGGGCAGGGTCTGGAGGGTAGAATTTCACATTAAACGCAAACTGCCAAGCACCACCTGGAAAAGAACACAGATTGACTGTTAGTACACTGTGAGTGCAAATGGAGATGCTCCTGCTGTTCGATTACCAGCAGACTTAAAAATACTCCAGCAAAGCAATTCACAAGAACAGGATACAGTATCCTTTTTTCCCATACATCACTCTGAAGATACTGCTTTTCCCTCTCGCAATTACAGTACTAGATCAGATTTTATGGCTCTTTTCTCACTAAGATTTCCACTAAAGCAAGGACCCTAAGGGAAGCAGTAATTTATTAATAATACTAAAAAAACCTTCAGTCCAAAACCAATGTTTACTGGAATTAACCATCTGAAAACAGCCTATACAAGCTTTAAAAACCAGTAACCCAAAACACAGAGGTGCTGGAAACCCTGTAAGCGAGAGTACAAATGGGATCCAAGGTGGGGTGATGTGCCGAGTTCTGGCTGCCCAAACGAGCTCACGGCATCCTCTCAGAGTGCTGCCTCAGCACATAGCTCCTGTCTCCAGCAGACATAAATTACTGTGCAGACCAAACTGCAGGGACAAACACAGAGAGCACGGCTGAAAAACAGTACATAACACTGGGGAACTCTTTCTTCGTTATTACAGTAAGTTCAGGTGGCCCATTGGATGGATATGAGTTTGTGTCACCACAGTTTGTGAAATTTGTTTTGGAGCTTTAGCTTTAAATGTTGTAAAGAAAGAATATCAAAAAGAATTAAAAAAGAAGAGCTGAATATAGCATGTAAATATTAAATCCATTTTGAAAAGAGGGACAGGTTATGCTAGTGTGTGTCTCCAACGCAAATAAAAAGCAGTAACAAAACCCCAAACCACAACATTCTTACAAGCAACATGGTAATTTTCCAGGACATTTAATCAAGGCCTCTGCTGTGGGATGTACCTTGGATATCTCCCTCTACCACATAAATCACAGTATTTTTGTAGTCAAGAAACCAAAGCCCAAGCAACGACACTTCTGTTTTCTGAAATGCACTGATGTCAAAGTACAAATCTAACTACAAAGAAACAGATCTCTCTTGAAAAGTCTATATTGGCCATGTAATGAGGAAGTGCTTATGAACACTGTGAAAAACAGGACTTCTTATAAACCTTACAGGGTAGGCCTTTCCCATGACCTTCAATTCAGGGCACCTTGAGCCATGGTACCTCCTAAAGAATATAGGGTTTGAAGGTCTATCTGGTATGATAGCGCACATGCTAGACAGGTCTGCTTGCCAGGAAATACTGTATCATGGTCCTAATTGGGTGTCTGAGAGTATTTATTTAGACGACAAGGCAATTCCATCCCACGCAAGGCCCTATCCACTTTGGTCATACACACACCTGAGAAAAAAGGGTTCAGTGTGCAAGAAGACGTTGATATTTACCATGAGGACTTCAGCTCTTGGTGAGACTTTTGGGTTCCTTGATTTTAGGACCTTTTCCACTCTCTTGGGCTGTAAAAGCAGGTGGAAGGAAGATTTGGCTGGCAGTGAGGATAAGGCATGGACCCACTGGGGAATGGACCAGCCCCGAGGTGGGAGTGGAGCCTGTGAATGACAACGTGAGGCCATGGCCCAAAAATCTATTCCTCTGGCACACACAAAATAAATCAAACCTATGATATAGCATGGACAGTTCAGATATCAGAGTAAGAGGCCTTCACTCCTCACTTACAGGGGTTTAAATGAAACGTAACACTCTGCTAGTAAGCGGGTTATAACTAATGGGGCATGAACCAGAGGCCGCACACACAGCAACAGCCTCATTTCTCATCCACTGGGATGAAATCCCTGTGGTCTGCACTGGAATCCAGATATCTGAGTGGTGTATGTTTGTGTGTTTCCACCATTGTCCTGTTCCAAACTTCCGGGGTGAATTGTACAAAGCAAGCAAATTATCACTGTCATCTTCTGCAAATACAACTGTCCCCCACGTCAAGTCCAGGATGAGACTCTTCTGCCCCGGTTAATCTCTTGCTGTCACAACCTTTCACTGTCTATCTCATGGCTTGGGCACATATTAAATGCATTTCAAATCAGCGGTGTGGAGCTGAGCTGCTTTACTTGTACTGACCATCAAAGTAACCTGACTCATGGAGGCCTACAGCACCTGCCTCTCCAGATCCATCTTCTCAAGAGGTTAAAAAAAGGGAGATTTTGATTACTTTTTTTGCAGATCACTTACTTCTAATGAAAATAATACCAGTGGAGAGGTGCGGGTGCTCACAGGAAGGGGGCAAGTTTTCCAGCCAGGGTAAATTAACCCTTCCAATCTTGGAGAGGGAACTGATTCAGTGGCCAGGCCTGACCCAACAAATGCAAACTACCAGATACATTTGGCTGTGAAAGCACAAGTGCTACAAGAGCTCATTTACAAAACGTGCAAAGAAAACCAAAACTTACTGAGGCTCTCCTGCCAAAAAAAGTCACACACAAACATCTGATCAATTTTAAAAAGAGAGGGGGGAAAAACAAAGGCAGGTCAAATTTTGAGCTTGACACAGTCTTAACAGTTTTCCTTCGAGAGGTTTTTGAATTTCTAATGGTAGCAGACGGCTAAATTTAACAACTGAGCTTTTTAAAATATTCATGTGAAGCATAAAATTGACTGGTTCTCTGTGAATTAAATGGTCATTTTAGGGGTAAAGTTCAAACTTTTGAAATGCAGGAAGGAAAGATATTTTAGGTAGGGTGCTATCTTTGCGAGAGTGAAGTATTTCAGTACGGGGCACAAGCAGCTCTCCTGGCCAGGATATAAATATCAGTAACGCAAAGAAATAATTTATACACGTGGCCTAGTCCCTAAGGTTATGTTGCATAATGTTAAACTTCAGGTTTTTGCCTCTCTGCAAATGTCAAGTTGTTTTCAGCAATGCAAGTTCACGCGTTACGAGCCTCAATAACCGCCTGCACTCATTATGGGGTAGAATGCCTAAAAGATGCAGGTAATTCCTGTGCCAGAGACTCACGACAGGATGCAAAAGACAGTTGTGAAATAGGCTTTGTTGCCCCGGGGGGAGCGTGCTTTCCTGGAGGAAGGTGGTGAGAAGGGGGTCCTATCCCTGCACTGCCTGTCCCCTCGCCCTGCCTTGCTGGCAGCGGGGATGGGGAGAGAGGCTTGCCGAGGCTCTGGTGCTGGGGGGCACAGAGCCAAGAGTGGCAATTACACCAGTGATTTAGGAACTAGCCTAGAGGATCCAGAGGGCTGGGCAGTGATGGTGGTGCCCATGACACGTGGCTTGCATGGCGGGGCGCCTCCACCGCCTCTCACATCCCCACTCGGCGTCACAGGGGTCCAACATCTTGGCAAACACAGACAGTAGTTTAGGGTGAGTTGGTATTTTTGTGCAGATTCTGGGGTCTGGATACAGCCGAATTAAAGTTTTCCAGACCCCCTAGAATAAACACACAAATGATAACAAACTTACTTCGGATCTGCTTCTTGATTTCCTTGGCAGGGTCCAACCAATTCTGCAAAGAAAATATTTCTCTTTTTCAATTTGAATTAGAAAACACAATAAACATTATTTTTAAAACAGACCTATGAGTCAAAGCTAGAACATGCAAAGGTCTGCCAGCCCTTTCTCCCTGGAGCAGCGGTAGGCAGGGATAACACTAACTTTCGAGATGTTGCCCTGTGTAGAAGCCGGATTTTTATTAACCTTACCAGTCATTGAGGGGCTGAATGGTTTGAAATAAAAAATAAAAAAATAGAAATTAGTAAAATAAATTCACAGAAACCTTTTTTCCAGACTACCTTCTAGGAAAATTAAATTTCTACAAGCTTTTTAAGAAGGTGTTTTTGTTGGTAGGTTGTTTTCTTGCTCCAATCCTAGAATGGCTGAAAAGCCTTGCTAGAGGAAAAGCAACCCGGCGTGGGCACGAGGCGTTCCCCAGGGGCAGAGGAAGCGTGGGGGGAAACCAGGAGCAGAACCGCAGCAATGGGACTGCTCCCATCCACGCTGTGCAGAGCCTGGTGACTGTGCAAGACAAAAAGCCCTGCTGAGGCGATGGGGAATTATCCCAGCGATATGTCACTGCTCCATGGATGCCAAGGAGTGGGCAAAATTCCCCTGGAATAGGTGCACAGCAGCCTGGGGTCTCTGAGAGTCACTGCTACAGCCAGAGCTTACAATTGATAGAGCAGCCTGCTCTGTACCTGTCTCTCAGGCACCAGGAGGCAAAGGCCCTACATTTCTGCCTTGTCCTCTAACAGCATCAAATTAATGTTTAAAATGTGTCTCACAGCCCAGGACAACAGATTTGCTTTCCCTAGGAAAGTTCCACTTTCTCCAAAGAAAGATAAACAAATGTATGGGAGTAACAAAAAATACTAAGGAAATATCAAACAAGCAGAACACAACAATTCCAGCCCCCACCCCAACAAAAACAACCAGTTTGCAGCTGTCCAAACCTGATCTGTGGTGCAAAACAAGCTTGAAGGGCTCCAGCTATTGCTGAGAACAAAAGCACACTGTGCACCAAGAAATTAGATTTAACATCAGGATTTCTGTTTTCAAAGGTGACATGGGATGTGGGCATGTATATTATCTGGCTGAATGTTATCAGGCAGAGGATGGAGGTGAATTGCTAAGTACTTTGACATTAAAAATATGCATGTTATCGATCAATAAATGTGGTGGCAGGCATTATACTTTTAGCTGTTTAGCTCTGTAAAGTAATGAGTGATCTATAAATGTTTAGTGCTTCTAAACCACCTGTTAATAATGAATGGATCCTCCTCTTTCCAGGACAGGAAAGCACACCTATCTGGAAATGCACTTAAACATCTGCCTAACTTTTACCACAACTCAAAACTAAGCATATGCTAAAGATTTATCTTGTACTGGCACGGACCATGTTAAGGAATACTAGCTGTTTAGTTTAAATAGGTAGGTTTTAAATAGAATTAATTACTCAGAGTCAATAATTTAGCATCAGGATGCAGGGTTTATGGCATAATGTTGGGTAATTTGGTATACTGTTCGTTCATTACTAACTTTGCATGAGTAGCTAGATCTGCTACAGGCTTAGGCTTCAAGTTGTACATTTCCATTTCAATATGGTTTTGGCTGTGAGAGTTGATTTTCTTCTGGGTAGCTGGAAGAGCGCTATGTTCTAGATTTAGTCTGAGAATAATGTAGACAACATACTGATGTTTTTTTGTTGTTGCTAAGTAGTGCTCATCCCAAGCTTAGCCTGGCAGAGGGAGCAGGTACACAAGAAGCAGAAAACAGAAGATAAGGAGGCTACAACCATCAACAAGATGAGAAAAGCCAACAGCCTGCTTGAAGATAGAGAAATAATCTAGTAAACTGTCAGAAGACCCCAGACCAAAAAATCACCATTAGGCCAAGAAGGCACATGAGGGGTGGGTGCACAGTTTGTAAGGGTATGATTGCCCAGGAATTCCGTTGTTCAGGGTTCCTGACAGGAAGAGGTACCAGCTCAAGCTGTTACTTTGTCTTTCTGTTGTACCATCTGAGTACTTTTTTGGTTTTTAAGTAAGATACAGTACCTGACACTCTGCTACAGGAAACTTAGGGCTGAACCTGCAGGGAGAGAAGCTCTTGGGGGTGAGAACATGTGCGTAAAAGGAGTTGGAAGGGGCACCCATGGGCTCGCTAGAGTTGCCCACTGAGAAGGGACTCTGGTCCTAGCAGTTAAAGACTCAGGCGGTGTGTGTCTGACCTTCTGGTAGTGTATGAGTGCTCGAGTGGTCTTTCCTTTAACAACCAAGTGTCTGCTTAAGTGTTTTTCTGAATCAGAAACAAACCCCTTGTATATAGAAGTCTTTAAAGAAAGGTGAAAAGATAGAAAAAAGACTGGTCTCTTTTGTATCATGTATAACGGAAACAAAGGGAAGTCTAGAGAATAAAACTCTTGTTCTCACAAGACATAAACAGCTAAAGAAGCAGTAAATGCTCCAACTTCATCAGGAAAGATCTATCAGGCCATCCAAAGCACAAAATCCCTTCACCTGGTGAGCTCTGCTGGGCTGCAGCACATATTGCCAAAAAGTTTTGTTACTGACTTCTTTAAAAATATTTACCTTAAAATGCCAAAAATATAGAGCATATTTTAAATTTCCCTTTGATACTCTCTCTTCCATCATAACGTGTCCAAAGCAATGTATCACCTGCACATTCGATCACCTTGGTCGCTGTTAACACGCAGCTTATTTAATGCCGTACGCTGAGATGCAGACAAGCAGTCTGTGATTCAGTACTGCTGCCAACTGCTTCTGAAGAGTTATGACTTTAGCCAAATCAACAGTAACATTCAGATCAAGCACGTCAAGACTTAAAGCCTTACTTTATCTTAGCAGTTAGCAGGAGCAGTCAATCAACTCCGGGCTATCCCTATCCCAACCACAGTATTATTAAGCCGTATTTTACTATTATATGTTTAGCGGTGTATCTGTGGATGTGAATCTGCAGCAGTAATGAAATAAATCATACTAGAAAGAGAACCAGCTATATGATTAACTTCTTTCACGTTATAAATAACCAAACAGAGGGAAGCCAGGGAAACACAGGGGACGCTCCGGAGAGGTGAAGAATTACAAAAATCAATAGTTCAAGCTATGTCTATGGAACTCAGCAAGGAAGACAAACACAACTTCTAGACAGGTTGGAACTGTCTGAAGGATGTCTCTGGAAGCTCTGATGTCCACATGCCTAAGGCCAGCTGCAGTTTTGTGGGTTACCTTTTGGTTTTCTGTGTCTCTATATGTTAGCCCAAAGTAGTCCTTTTCCAAAAGGTTCAGATGCTCGCACACTTTGTCGAATAGCACTTGACCTCTGGAACGCTTCTGTGGGAAATGAACAGGAAAAAAAAATAATCACATTTGCAAAGTTAAGTAATACAAGCATTAAAATTACACCTTGTCTGTTTAATCTTCAAATCAATAACCCCAAAATGATTTAATTCAATTCATCCATCTTTCAAACCTACTGACCTGGAGCTTCATAAGAATCTGCTGAATGGGGCAAACCTGCTTTTCACAGAACTTCAGGTTTTCTTGTGGAGTTAAAATTTAGTTAATACTTGCCTTGTTTCAAGTTCCAGTGAGAAGATCTCTTCAGTCTTTCAGAAATTACAGCTTCAAACACATGCTGAGATTGTACCTCAGCAAACCAGAGCATTCTTTGTGTGCAATGGTAACAACAAACAACAGTACGAAAGATATTCCTGGTCATGGACCCTAAGAGCTGTGACTCAGGAGCAGTCCGCTGGAGGGAAAACTAAACGTGGAGATATTTCTTGCTTTGGTAACAACATGGACTGATTCCAGGACCCTTTTTTGTCTTACATACAGGGAAATACGATACACCATCTACTGAATTCACTGCAAGCTTAGCATTTCACTGGGAAGGCAGCTGCGTAAGAAAGCAGCTTTCCTGTGTCCCACTAACCCTCTTTACTGCTAACATGTTAAATGAGAAGATCTCTCGCTGTCGACAGCCAGAGCCCTTAGCAGAAGCTTTGTAGTATCTCTTGTATTGGATCAGGTCATCCTGGCTCTCAGCATTGCATGTGACACTGAGAAAAAAAAAAATCTCCAAAAAACCAAACACAGAGAGAAACATGCTCTTTACAAGCTACATGTGCCAACCTTGATATGCATTTATTATGATAAACTACTCAAAATTATCTGGGCCATCGTTTCATCACTGCCTACTTCCCTAAGTGCAACTCAGCTGAAGGAAAAAATCTCCCCGCATTATTTCAAACACACGCACACATAAATATTTTAGTCAACGTCAGGGCTGGGTTTTCTTTATTTGCAGCATACCCATGACTCAAGGCAGACTGGAAATACGCTACTTGCTTCAAATGCAGCGCAGGAGGCTGACACAAAAGAGGAAAGAACGCCGCCTCCGAATTAACGCGCCTCCGCTGACAGGTCTGCGCCCGGACCGCGCTGCCAGCCCAGCAGCCTTGGCTGGGGGGACAGCTATTTCACAATCCAAGCTGACACAGCTATGCCAACAAACCCGTGGAGCCCAACGCTGGCCCCAAACTATTTTAGAAGCGGTAAGCAAGCCAAGAGAAAAGAAAAAAAAGAACCGAGGGTTGCTGCCTAACAACCTGAGAAAACATTACGGGAGATGATGGAGAGAGTTGTGCAGCATAACCTAATTTATGTTAAATTCAGTATTTCTACTGGGACTCTAATGGGATATTAGAAAGGAAGCAGGGAAACGTCCTCTACATTTTTGATGGGGAAATTGAAGAGTGTGGCTGACAGACTCGAGGAAGTGTTCTCCACGTGAGAAGAAACCAGGCACAAAAGTGTAATGCAAGCATATTGCTGTAACTCCATTTACCGTGTCTTCCAGTATCCTTTGAGCACACAGCTCTAGGGCCTTGTTCTGCTTGTCACATGCTTCCCACCCTGCAGTAAGAAGCACAAATACACCCCAGCTCCTTCGTAATTTCAAACAAATGATTTGCTAATTCTTCACGCCCCTAACTTGGAAGTAGATAATAAGAGGTTGGTGATGTTATACTTGATGATCCATGGAGAGGATTGGGCAGATAGAAAAGCTCTCACCACTGGTGTGCAGAGAAGAACCAACTCAGAGCCTTCTAGCCAAAAGAGTCACGTTTCTGCTGTAAGCAAGCAAAGCCGTATTTTGCCAAATTTCTTGCTTTTCTACTTATAAACAATCCACGTGGTTATACTGAATGGAGAGAAATAAGCAGGTCATCTCTAGAGGATACCTGTTGTGAAGCACTGGAACAGGTTGCCCAGAGAAGCTGTGAATGCTCCATCCCTGGAAGTGTTCAAGGCCAGGCTGGATGAGGCTTTGAGCCACCTGGTCTAGTGGAAGGTGTCCCTGCCCATGGCAGGGGGTTGGAACTGGATGGTCTTTAGGGTCCCTTCCAACCCAAACCAGTCTATGATTTGCACCACTGCACCATTTACGTGTCTTTGAATTGTGACGATTCAATGTCCTCTCAATTTTAAGAGTTGCCTAAGGCCAACACAGGAGCTGTTTTATGTGGCCGATACACAGATGTCAGCTTTGAGAAACAGTAGCTAGCAGCTGCAAGGTATGATGTTTTAACAGGGAATTGCAGGAAACAGTTGTGTGGGGCTGTGCTGTAATAAAAACCAACCAACAAAAAAAAAACCCCAAAACCCAACGCTCAGGATTTCTTGTTTGGCTACACATTGTGGACAAGTGAGAACAACTACGGCAAGCCTGAAATAATTTACACAGCTCATTTTTTGTCCATGACAAAACTGACCCCCCTGCTCCTTGGGTACCAAGATGACCAAGTCGTATGCAGTCACTTCCCACAAAATTCCCACTGCATCTAGGCCACGGGAAAGCTCTTCTAGTGCTATGAGAGGATGCCAGAAATACCCCATGACACTGACAGCCCTTCCCCATCGGGGTCCTCTCTTCAACAGACAGCAGGTTTGAATTGGTGATGGTTGAGGGGAAGCCTTACCAGCACCACCTCCCTTCTCACCGTCCACAGAAAAACACCCATCAGCGCCCAGACAGACGAGCCTGAGCGCCTCTTCCCGGGTCAGAGCGGAGCTGCGGGGACAGGATTTAAAGGGCTCCTGTCACGTGGGGAGTGGGGGCTGCCTGGCAGTGCAGCCAGCACTGATGCCCTCCGAATCCCTGTGTATACGCAGCACCGCTGCTTCGTACCCACGCAGCATCAGCATGCACACCTTCTTTCTAAACCGACGTTGCACAAAAACACAGTGAGGGGAGGCTACTGCATTAATCCATAGGAAATTAAGAGGTTTAGTAAGGAATATGTAATTAAAGCAACAGAACAGACCTCCTGTGCTCTTGTTAATTGCTTTTATTTTACTCTGTGCCCAAATAAGCATGCCAGACAAGTCATGGATGCCATTACTCTGGCAGGGACAGAATAGGAGAATAGAAAGGTCAAGCTACAAATTCATACACAACTCCTACAACCCATCCTAAACCTTTGCTTTCCATCATTTTGGGGTGACACATTTAAGGTAATGTCAGACTAATATTCAGCTGGTTATTCTGGATTACAAGCTAATGCCAAAAATGTAACCAATTCTCAGCGCTCCAGAAAATGTAGATTAAAAAATAAAAATCAGACTTCATGCTATAAAATACTGGCCTGTAAATGAAGTGTTTTTCTGAAAGGTAAAATGGCAAGAATCTCCTCCAGAAATATTCTTCCCTATTTTTCTGGCATGAATGGCATGAAATGAAACATGCAGATGTGAAAAGAGAGACACTTTGCTTTAGCTTTGGGAAATCAAGACAACAAAAATGCAAAACATAGACTGAATAATATAAATGAGTATAAAAGTCTGTCAGCTAAAACTTTACGCTTTTCACAGCCTCTTCCCTGCAGCTCTATAAAGGCCAGGGCTCTTGGTTGAAGCTGGAACGGGAATAAACAACCTCCTGGTCAAGCTCCCAGTGAAAAGAGCCAGCAGCAGTGAACTTGGCAAGCCTGCACCCACATGCAAGGGAGCGGGGAAACAGCCTCTCCCAGCCAGCTTCTCCCCTGGTTTTGGAGCTGAGCTTCCCCCTCTTCAGGAGGCTGAAGGCCACAAAAGACTCTCCTGTCCCCTAACTGGCTTCTCCAGAAACAGTTCACACTCAAACCCCTCCACGTTGGCTTCTTCGGCCTATATCCCTGCATCCCACTCCCACCCCATCACAAGATCACCAGATCAAGACAACACGTTCTACATCACCGAGAGTGAGGAGCTCAAAAATTAAGTACTGCCACCTTGGCTCTGCATGGGTAACACGATTATAATAATGTCAATTATTCTCATTGAGTACAATGTCTGGTATTTATTAATGCAAAAAAATGAGAACGTTTTCCTTTATTATGCTTAAGCTCCTAAGCTGTAACATACTTATGAAAACGAAACATTAAAGTGAAAAAAATGCAAGTCTGTTATAAATAGATCGACACTTCAGTCACAAAATATGTATTGCACATTGATACAATCACAGAATCACAGACTAGCTGAGGCTGGTGGGCACCTCTGAAGATCACCTAGTCCAACCCCTCTGCTCACGCAGGGACACCTCAGAAGGTTGCTCAGGATCGTGTCCGCTTGGGTTTTGAATATTTCCAAGGATGGAAACTCCACAGCCTGCCTGAGCAACCCGTGACAGAGTTTGACCACACCCACAGTAAAAATGCTTTTTGCTTCCATTTAAATGGAAATCCCTGTATTTCACTTTGTGTCCACTGCCTCTTGTCCTGGCACCAGGTACCACTGAGAACAATCTTCTGTCTTCTTTATTCCTCCCATCAGATACTGAGACACATCTGCAAGATCCCTGAGCCATCTCTTCTCCAGGCTGAGCAGTCCCCGATCTCAGACTTTCCTCACAGGAGAGGTGTTCCAGTCCCTTTCATCATATTTGCGGCCCTTCACTGGCCTCTTTCCAGTATGCCCATGACTCTCTTGTACTGGGGATCCCAGAACTGGACCTAGCACTCCAGGAGATGCCCCAGTGCTGAGCAGGAAGAAAGGATCACCTCTCCCTTGACCGGCTGGCAACACTGCCAGGATGTAGCCCAGATGGCACTGGTCTTCTTTGCTGCCAAGGCACATCACTGACTCTCGTTCACCTTGCTGTCCATCGGGACCATAAACCCTGTATTGTAGCAATCAAGGTACCAAAACCATACGTCACTGTACTGTGATAAGCAACAAGGAAAATTATGTGGAAAATGAGCAACCAACAACGTAGCACAAAGATGTGACACCAACTTCCTTGTCATGCAGGTGCTAGTACGACCCCAGGAACCCTCTCTGCTGTTCAG